TGAGAGTTCAGATAATCAAAAAATAATCAGAAAAAACAAGGTTCATTTAGCTAATTTACCAGGCAGTAAACATACCTTTCCTGTAAATGGATACTGAGCTTGTACTCTAAACAGCTGTCAATCAGAAAAAAGAGACAAGTTAGTATACAGGTTAGTATACAGTAGGAGTCTTGAACACTGCTCTTTTTCTGTGTTTCAATTTGACAAGCTCCAGTAATGAATGTTTAATCGAAAGCCAGTTTTAATTTATATTCAACAAAACAAATTTTAAACAGTTCAGCCTCTGTTGCAAAAATATGTGGACAGGATGCCTATGAAAACTGTACATGGGATTACGACATTATGCTAAAAACCCTTTTCAGGGATTCTCAATGAATTGTGTGTATATGTTACACAGTGATCTGTGTTAAGACACGGGAACATAGCTGTCTATGTTTTACATGTCCTTAAGTCTTGATGTGGTCTCCTTTGCAGCTGCTACTGGGGTTGGCAGCCATTACTTGGAATGCAACTCCCATAATGGTTGCGAAGGAATAGTCATGAGTATTTAGTTTTTAAGTTTTCATCACTACTGCCAATCAAATAAGACTTTAGGCCAATGCAAGCTAATATTTTGAGCAAACTCTAACTTGTACAGTCAAACCTCTTTGATACAGACACCAAAGGGACAGACATGAGTGTCCATATAATGGACATGGCCGTATTATAGAAATGGCTGTATTATACAGGAAGAGATTACATGAATTCTGTTTTGTCTGGGATTAAATTAACTGTCCTTAATATAAAGGTGTCTGTATTATGGAGACATCTGTAATGAGAGGTTTAATTGTATTTGCTTTGTACTCTTGCCACGTTACAGACTCATGTTGTACTTACCGGTTCTGTTAAGTTTGTAGAATCCAGAAAATGATTCTTGTAAAATTCTATAATACTATGTAGGTCGGGAAAGGTGTTCTCTCCTATTTTATAACCAGTGCCTATACTGTTGATGATGTAATGACTCACTTTCCCACTTTCGCTGAAACATAACAAATTTAAATAATTTCATTTTCATGAAGTAGCGTGGAAGTGTACAAAATTAATGTTCCCTCCAAATCACCAACAGAGATCTAGTATATCCAATCACCCTTGTGAAATGATTACCTTACCACTCCCACCAATTTACAGGTAGAACAAGTCACCAGTGGAACAGCTTACCGCTGAAAGACAAGCCCTGGCAGGAGGGGGTGAAGAAGAGGGAAGACAGTACTCAACAAAGTTTTATACAGTGACAAGAGGTCGGTTGAAGGTAATATCACATGCAACACATTTTCTGCGCATTTTCTGTATAGTGAAGGTTGGTTATAATCATGTCATATCCAACAAGTGGGGGTGGATTAATTATTGTTCCAACAAAAGTTATCAAGAAATATCCTTAAATTTTGCTTTTTTTTTTTTTTTTTTTTCTTTTCATAGAAAAGAAGGACCGCTTATGGTCATAATTTTTTCCCTGAATAATATATGTTTTGACATTTTTGTGTTTCAAAATCCTGATGTTGAACTGTCACTCAGGATTTCAAAACAACAGTAGCGTGAAAGAAAGTCAGATTTCACATTATTCTGAGACAAGGTAATCGAAAACGTAAAATGTAGAGAAATCATAATTTTGAGACCACAGAAGAAAGTCTTGATAATGAACATTTGGATAAATTAAGGTTTAACTATGAAAGTTGAACTATTAAAAAACTGAATGATATGACTGAATGAATGATCCAATATTGAGGGACTGAAATGACCGAGTGCTTAAGGGAAGACTGGGTACAAGTACTCTGTAGTAATATAACAGACACGAATGACCGTGTTTGGCCAAAAATCCAAACACCGAGAAGAGAGTTGAAAAAATGGCGCGCAGCTGATTATTTTTGACGAACTTCGAGATGTTTGGAAATGTGGTCAAACACTGTCTTGAGTGTTTGATATATATTCTCAATCCAAATTAAAACTAAGGAGAAAACGCGAAGCGAAGCGATCTGGCGGGGAGGAGACTGGTGAAATAAGTGATATCCATCTTCACCTCTCTACACCCAAGTTTACCGTACATTTCTTAAATTTAAAATTTCATACGTGGAATGAAAAAAATATTACAAATAGTCAACAATAGACCATTTTACAGTTGTCTGCTCAGTGACCTGGCCTTTGCATGGCAGCGAGGCTAGAGTTGACCTTGTTTTGATACAGACCTCACTGCTTTTGTCATGTAAATGCACCTAGTTAGCATCAGAACAACTTGTTTTACACAACAAAAGCAATGAGGTCTATATCAAAACAAGGTCAACTCTAGCCTCGCTGCAATACAAAGGCCAGGTCACTGAGCAGACAACTGTAAAATGGTCTATTACTGGACGAGGTTGAGCAAAATATCGTGATTTGTCAGTTGCGAACAGATCAATTGTTTGCCGAAGGCCGAAGCAAATAATTGATCTGCGAGACTCTAACATATCACAATATTGTGAGATAATCGAGTTCAATGATTGTTTTATCACTCCATCAACAAGTTTGTTTCTCAATTTGTAGCTCTCTGATAGCTCGGGGAAGCGATCTGCCATTTTTCACACAAGTAGCGTGGTTACAATTACGCATGAGCAGAATATTATTTGCAGAAAAACACATTTGGACACCACTACGCATGAGCAGAACATTATTTGTAGGCGGTTATTTGCCATTCTCGTCCCCAGAACCTCCGTTTCTTTTGATCACGTGGTCGGAGAAACGACATTTTAAGACCAGTAGCACTGGGGACGAGAATGGTTATTTGCAGGTCACGTGGTGGATTCTTTGCCAATGAAAAGGAAAAAAAATCCATTGAATGATAAAAATACTGTCTTGAAAATGTGCGTGGTCAGTTTTCGCATCGAGATTGGTTTACTCTAATGGCTCTTATCTTCGCGGTTTTTTTAAAGATGTTCCAAAAAAATGATAATAATATCAATAAATAAAGACACTTAAAGGCATGTTATTGTATATTTCTGGGATAAAACTTTATTAGTCATTCCGTACACGTTACACTGAAATGTTTCACGTTTGTAATGAAAAACTGAGCGATTCAGTTTGCAATGTTTTTCGCGAATATATAAATACTAAGGGTCGAGCTCTAGTACAACGTTTGTTTCTACTCTGTTATACTGTGTTACATTTCGCAAGGGTGGGTCGGTTTAAGGGTCTTAAAGGCGCGAAATATTGCTCTGTGACTCGTCCCATTTCGCGAAAATCTTTGCCGCGAGATCAGGACTGGTCAATTTTGAATATATACATACATATATAGCTAATATCTTTGAGGGAAATTAAAACTAAACAAAGTCAAAATAAAGTACATGACTAAATTAAATATGAACTAAAAAGGAATAATTCTTCCTTTTAATACGACCATTCTTATATTTAAATCGGATTACTAACTGTGAAATATAGCCACGAATGAACCGCTTGACGTCGCTAGGAATGCGTCGCACGAATATTTTCATGAATTCTACGCCACGTGAAAATAACAAGCAGTGGGGTACGATTGTTATGTACATAAATCAAGCAACGAGATAACTTGTTTTTCTGAAATCTACCACAAAATAAATTTCGCTGACCAACTAACGACAAAAATTACCTCGATCGGTTCTCTTTTCATCAGATCCTTAAATAGCCAATCCCACTTACATCTCTTATTTGCAGGAAATGACTGAAATACATATATTTAATTTTCGATTTCAAAGGTGATACACCGTCTTTTCTTTGTAAGAATATTGTTTTTCCCGCCCAGACTGAGTATTCTTATTTTTCTACCGATTTTAGGATGAAAATATTTTTGTGAATACTCTTAGACTATGCCGTACGACGTTTATGTTTTATTGCCTTTGATGGTGTTGAAGTAATTTTGGAGCCAGACGGCAGGCAACAAAGCCTGATATGGCACACACAACATCTTGCAAAAATGTTATTAGTATCGAACATTGGGCTAATGATGTTGTTGTTGATTTTTGGCCAGTTTGCCGTTTAAAGAAAGGAATAATTTTTTTACGATTTAGGTAAAAACAAATAATTGTATTATATTTACAAATTTTCAACACACAAGTATATTCTTTTCAAAATCTCAGTTCAGGGTTCATTTTTAAAATGTTCTTAAAATTTCGCAAATTTCACCTCGACATTCTTGTAAAATATATTTTTATAGGAAAAAAAGACGGACAGAAATAGTGTAATACTACCATGAACGTAATTCTGAACCCCTCAAATTCAGATTCAGGTTCACCCCGTTATAAAATCCTTCAGTATGAAATCTTGCCACTCGATGACTGTAAACCTGCCCGGTTCTTTCTCCTCCCCGCTCTGACTATCTTCTACGTTCATTTTGTCAAACAAGATTTCGTAGAAATCCAAAGGTTTGAAGATGTCCAATTGCAGCGCGCGCATCTGTTCCGGGATCAGATCTTTGGCATTTTCAGGCAAGTACGTTTTGAAAAAATCCCGAAGGACAGAAGAGAAAAAAAACGTGATGCTTTTGTGGGTACTGGAGCGACCAAGATACAACCATTGGACGGCATTGAATTCTACGGTAAGAAATAATAAACTGGAAATTTATTATGCAAGAATAAGCGAGATCGGGCTGTGGAGGTGTCTTTAAAAGCGAGGAAAACATTAACAGGGGCGGAGCCAGGCTATTTTTAATTTTCGAGCGCCAAAGACTTTCTTAGTGCAGAGTGCCTTAGCGGTTGCCTACCGCTAAGGCACTATGGAACTAAGGCCCTAGGGCCTCAAGGTTCTAAGTCCCTAAGGCATTAAGGTGTAAACTTGAATGCTTGTTTTTTCAATTAATTATTTAGCACTGCAGCAAGTGATCGGGTGGGTTAGGTACCTGTGTTTCCCACGTAAAACAAGTTATACCCACCTCAAAGCTATACTTGTTTCAGAAAAGCCTTTGCTCTCCTTGTGGTACTATTCTCTTTAGAACAAAACCAATTTGTTCTAAACGCATGTGCAGATTAGTTAGTGTTTGTGTTAACTAGACATTAGGTGGAAGATATATTTCACACAGGATCACATACAAACGTTGAGTGCTTTTCCTTGTGGTAGAACCCAGCATGTAAGATGCATGTGCTCTAGTATCGTTAGGGTTACACACTCCAGTTTCATCGCCAGCGCCACCTGGCTTTTTATATGTCACGTAATATAAATCTCAAATGTATTTCAGACGTACAATCAGCTGGTAGAAGTCGTTTGGAGTATATATCAACTAGAATTGAAAATGAATGCTGATACAAAATATTCGCATAAAGATTATTACTTTAATACAATAATCAATGTATACAATAGCATTGTTAAACACATTTTAGTCACTGTTGTATCAGACAACTCTAACAGAGGTATCATCTACCCACTCAAAACTAACATTAAATTATTTCTAAGAACCTATTAGCTTTAAATTAAATTATTAGCTCGAGATTTCTATGAAATGTAGCTAGATGTGAGGTTTGGCTAATTATGTACCACAGCTCAGCCACTCAGATTGTAGCAATTGCATTAATTTTAAACCTATACTAGCAGAATTTTATCAAAAAAATTATCTAAATTTCATCTTAACAACTTATTTTAAAGTTCATTTTTGAATATTATACTTAAATATATGTCATTCAAATTTGTTTTAAAATATCCAAAGTTATGCATTAAACTGTTAAAGTACAAGACTAGAAATATTTGAGAACCTGACTAAATGTGGAATCCTGTGACGGAAGCCACAAACCTCAGTCGACTGTTTTCACACTTATAAGTGTTCTCAAATATCGCATGGCTCTGGTACCTTTACACATATTGATTTACATCTGCGCAAACAAAAACAAACTATGGTGAGGTGTGTTTTCCACTTACATAACACATGGATTTCTTGTCAATCAGGAAAGCATGAGGTGTCCATGATTAAAGTTTTACCACAACATACTGCTAATTTAATATTCTATCAACTCTGCTGAAAGTAAGCAGTTCATAAAAGAAGCTTAGACGCTGTCCCCATATGAGCTCTGACTGCATTTCAGTCTATCTAATGAAATTAGTCTAAAACTATTCACTCTCGTGTTTTTGTCATGACTAAGCACAACGTTCAACAACATAAACTAATCGTCCTTACAATAAGAAAATCAAAACTACATCCCATTAACTGACTGCTGTTGACCCTGAAAGAGTAAGCTGTATAGATGTTAGGTTAGCAACTGGTTACCTTGAGACAATTTTTTTTGGCAGAGTGACAACTTTTGTTATTTTTTCATTCTTCTTATGATCTATGAAAAAATTATTCCACAAATTTTCTCTGCAAACATTACTTCACTTTGAAAACACAAAACACTATATGCAATGGATAGCAACAGTAACAGAGCTACTTTTAGACATAACATTTCTTGGCAGAGTTTCTGACCATTCTCTCTCCACAGCAACACAAGACATAAAATTATTCTTAACATTCCAAGACAGCTGGAAGAGAAGCCCTGAGGTTTAGTCTGGTGGTTTGCAATAGGCTGTTTCTTGGTTCTTTCTTGCCTCTTATTACAAAATAAACTCAGGTGTAAAACGTCCTACAAAAATGGGTTTACTCACAAGTTTACTTTATAGAACTCCCAACCATTTCCATTTGAGTTACTTCAACAATGGCTAGTTTTGACACAGTAGCAAAAAACGCTCCAGATACATGTAACCAATGGAAATAATGTTATTTCTAAGTATTGGAAAATGAACTAAGTTAAAGCCAAAGATGTAAGCACGCCTCCCACCCACCCTGGGGAAAGTTTTGCCAGAATAAAACACGGCACTGGATTCATTGCATCACAACCAATGGCAATTCGAACCATTGTGGAGAATATTGGTTTGAGCCAATCAAAGAAAGTATTAGCCTTCTTTAGATCAACACTATACGATGTTCCTAAAGTATTCCAGCTGACATGGCCACGCCCTTCTTCGGAATCTTCATCTTCAATGTTGTCTTCTTCCTCCGACTCTGGTTCTTTATCATCAAACAATGGGTTGTTACGCATCTCAGGATTAAAGTGAAAAAGTGTAAAAATATCCTTTGCAGTAGGGAGGGTGTCTTTGTTCCAGGGAAACAAGCACGTTTCTACCTCACCTGTGCCCTCATTACCCCAGGCTCCTAAAAAATAATCATCATCATTTTAACAAAGAGATTCCTTATTGCCACATGCAACAGATCACAGATGACATCAAAATGTTGTAAGAACAAAAAAGGGGCTCATGAGCTGTTTGTAAGAACCAATAAAACTGCCAGGATAATTTGATATATTATACAACACTAAGAAGCCCAAATTACAGTTTTGTGACAGGTAACTTGGCCTCCGCATGAAAGCAAGGTTTGGACTGACCAGATTAGAAGATTACTATTTAACATGATGAAATAATAATCTACATTTGAAAAGTAACAAGATTTGTATCATAACAAAGACTAATCTAATAATAATAACGATAATGATAACCATAACAAACAATAACAATAATAATAACAATAACAATAACAATTATAATAATAATAATAATAATAATAATAATAATAACAATAATAATAATAACAACAACAAAAATAATAATAACATATTTTTAAAACCAGGGTAATTCGGTCACCAAATACTGTTATCAAGGGGTTCCCTGAACAAATTAAATAGAACTTAAATAACAATAAAAGTCCTAAAAACATTACAATAAATGTAGTAAATGATAAAAGCTATATACAATATTTAAAAATTCTAAGAGCTTTCACTAAAAAAGTCCTTAATCATTATTTTAAAAATTAACAGAGATTTAGTTTCTTGCATGCTGGATGGTAGCCTCTGTTCAAAGGCCTGGGCTATTTACTGTGTTGGCTCCAAGCTTCCATAATTTCAAAATCACCTCACCATAACACTAGGAAATATATGACTCACAGTTAACTACTGATAATGTACAAAGTGTTCTGAACTCTGGGCTGGGCATTCAAAGGACAATTACAAAAAGCTTTGCCAGGATCTTTCAGCTGTTGTCTTGGGCAAGTTGTCTGGTAAAATGCCATGGATTAACCTGCAGTAACCTAGAATCTGAGGTGGAGGCGCAGTGGCCTCACTCACCTCCTGATTGAGCCCTGGCCACAGACATTGTGTTGTGACCTCGGGCGAGACACTTTACTCTCATAGTGCCTCTCTCCACCCAGGCGTCTAAATAGGTATTGGCAAATTCAATGCTGGGGGATAACCCTGGATGGACTAGAATCCCATTCACAAGGGGAGTAGAAATACTTCTAGTCACTTCATGCAGCTGAAACAGGGATGAGCACTGGCCTGATGGGCCACTTGGCTTGTGTAGAGACTTTCCCTTTAACCTAGCATCTGATCCAAAACTATATGCACAAACCTAATAGTTAGCATACTGGACTTTGGACCTGGTGGTTTGGGTTCAAACCCTGGCCTGCATCATGCCTGGGTAAACACCCAGTTTGGAAAATTTCCTATACCACTGATTAGTATCCCAGTAAATAAATAAATATGATACTGTATTGTATACCAATACAAATGCAATTTGTCTACCAAAACTAGCTGATTTCAATCTCCTATCCCAGACACCTAGAAAGCCATGCCCTTCACAGCAACTTACGGCAATCTAGGTCCAATTCCACTGCGGCAATCTGTATCCTAGTCAAAATGTACAATGCCTTGAGAAGATCTTTATACTTAAGCTCTTTATCTGACTCTAGCGTATAATCGGCCAAATGGACAATGCCACATTTCCAACGCTTTGGAGGGTCAGAGAACACATATACATTAGATAGGTCTGCATTTTCATCCCAGTAATAGAACCATTCATCTGGAGTAGTCCACACATTCAGATGCCCAGCTGGTTCCTCTTCATCAGTTAAGTTATAGTGTCTGAGAGCATAGCGTTTACAGAACTGCTCTGAAGAAAGAAGCTCCTAAGTAACAAATAAAAAGAGTGATAACTTTTTAGCATCACTTTTTGAGTTTTTGTTTTAGTAAAAATACCTCTTAGTTGTTGTGTCTGGGCTATGTTGTGAGTGGAGGAATGGATGAGTGAGTGAGAGATGCACGTATCATTAGATAGTAAGTGGTTTGAACCCAGGAGTAACGGTAGTTCGTCTTGTGTGATTGTCCGGGTGAGGGTAAGTCATGGAAAGTACTGTTGTTGGTCACTGACATTTCGACAACCTGAGCAATTGAATATTGCTTGCCAGGCAATGGTGATATAAGTCTTGTCCATTGTAAGGTAAGTGTAGCCGAGAGAGTATTGTAATGTTTATCAACAGTCATTGGTTGGTTCTAGTAGGTTTGGATCTGTCTATGGCGTAAAATTATGTCGGTCAGTTTGAGGTCCATCTACTGTGAGTCATAAAACTGACTGGGACTCTGCTCAATGCTTTACCTACGCTACAAATTATTTTCAGTGACTTTAGAAATAGCTAGTGCACTAACTTAGAACAATCACCCTACCAGCACCTCACAAACGACTTATTCACTACAAAAACAAAACCGACAAGTGGACTCAAACAGACCTACTTAATTTGACAAATCATTTTTGTCTCAGAACTTACTAAAGAGTTCAAACATGTACTCACCTTCCATTCTTTACAGACTAACATACAGTTGCACACTTCTGGCAAAGGTAAGAACGAAACTATTTTTGAAATTACTTCTGATGGTAGGAAAGGAATAGTTGTCATCTTGTGTTTTGGAGAAGAATCGCTCTGTGTAAAAACAAACCAAAGATGTGCTCATCAGTTGTACAAGTAATTAGCTATTCATTAACCAGTTTGAGTAACGCAGTGGCCTCATGGTTAGTGTGCTCGCCTCTGGATCAAGCGGTTCAGGTTTGGGCCCTGGCCGGTGACAATTTGTGTGGTTCTCTTGGGCAAGACACTTTAATCTCACAGTGCCTCTCTCTGGCCAGGTGTCTAAATGGGTACTGGTAAATTTAATGTTAGGGGTAACCTTGCGTTGGACTGGTATCTCATCCAGGGGGGAGTAGAAATACTCCAAGTCACTGCATGCTACTGAAACTGGGAATAAGCGCCGGCCTGATGGGCTACTTGGTTATTATAATTTAAGACTTTACCTTGAGTAACTTGTGCTGACCTTTTTTAAATGGCTTGAAGCGAATTTCATGTCCCATAAATGGCAACAGTAGTCCACATTTTTGAGGCCCCATGGGGGTATCTTATATCCCGTTAATTTTTGGCTTAAATATTCTGCATCCGTTAATAATTTCTAATTTCAAAAATTAGCAATTTCCCTCGTTGTATCTAGGGATATCTGTTCTACATATCCGCTATCTTATTAATTTTTTCACCCAAAATTAATATTTTGTATCCCATCAATTTTGTCTCTATTTTTTATCCTCCCGTATCCCAAAAAAAACCTAAAAGGGTCTCCGGAGAGTATGGCCCACCAGTTCAAAGATTGTAGCCCAATAACATAATAAGCATTAACTGAACACTGTTGTCTATTATAAAGTCGCCCCGCCAAAGATTACAAAAAAAAAGCTTCAATATTAATTCGAAACTTATCTCGGGATGATCGATAATAATAAAAGATTAGTTATCATATTAGTTATCATGTGTTATTAAATAAAATTATAAATGCAAAAGTGATTATTCGTGCATAAATTAAAATGCAAGTTAAGTTAAATAGTAAAAACAACTTTTATGTTTATGCATCCAGCAAGAAACTGCGAGAAAACATGAATGGTTGCACGTTTGCTGATCGCGCTGCAATTTACGCTAAGTACAACGCAAAATGCACAACATAAAATGCTTTGACCCTTAAATTTCTTCTTTTACGGAACACAGTTCACATGACTAGTCATAACAGTGTCATTCTCGTTGTATCCTCACTCACCTGTTTCTGCAGCTGGGTGACTTCAGCCATGTTTCTGAACAAAATTTGTGCAAGGCCTATCCGAGCGTAATTGTCACCAGTCTCTTGCACTCGTGACGTTAATTATGTATACAGTGTGGCAAATGTACACAGTTTCGAGTAGTTTTCACTTCTAATTTTATAGATAATTACTACCATTTTTTCACAGTCGATGCTACAATAATGGTTTCAAACAGCTTTCTTAGTACCGTAAAAATTCGGTTACAAACCTGCATAAGGGGTTTAGGGACTGGGTTGATTTTTTAAAAACGGGACAGTTTTTTGTGGTCGGAGTCGCAGGGACAACGACTAGCCGTTTTTGTACTAAAATTCGAACAATTTCCCAACCCTGGAAACTCTTGTCGACTCACCGTCTTTCCTACCTTGGCTCTATATGGATGAAAGAATATGCTGAACAAAAATTGCAAATTACTTTAGCTTCTTCCAGGCGTTCTGTACG